AATTACAAAGCTGTTTTGTCATAAATGGACTCTATAAGTTACCGGAAACATTTTATACAAATACTTAAATATATTTAAGTAACTTGAATTTATTATTTGCTTCAAAACATTTAATAAAGGTAATACTTAAAATTTCTACGTGCGAGAGTGTTAACAGAATAAAATTCATGAATGTTGCAATTGTGGATGGCTGGAATAAAGGTATCTATTCTAAAATCAGAACGCGTTCATTGCGAGCGTACCGAATCCGTTCACAAAAGCTTTTCAAAAGCCGTATTATACACTAGCAAATTTTCTTTCCCATTATACAGGCTGGGGTTTCTGAATGTGACAACAATTGAATTAACGTAGCGTCGTTTCTGTTCGCTAAATATTAATTAGTACATCTGTTTGCGAGTACCACTTAAAATCTGCAACGTATATCTCTTATTGTGATTGAAAATGTCGCATTGTATCTGTCTTTTTTAATAATGGCAATTATTTCTTTAAGAATATTAATTTTTATTTTTTTACTTGTGAACAGTTGATATCAAATCAATAAAATCAAACTTTATTTATATACAGGTTGGTCCGAACTGCCTTCCGGAAAATTCGGCAGCAAATTCTGCAGGTAAAAATAATGTATATCCTAAAATACTTACTTTCAGAGATACAGGGTGTAGAAGTTTCATTTTTATTTCGATTTTTTCTAAATAATTTAGAAAAAGTAAGTTTTTTAAGTAACGTCAATATTTGGATAAAAATTGGTGTCTGGAAGTTTTTTGACATGAGAAATTTGATTTTGATGTCAATATGACTCCTACTAGTAGAGGGCGCCACCTACATGTGTTTTAACTCTTTTGAAGCGTAGTAACTTTTTGTTTTTGTCCGTACCTGTATAAAACTACCGAGCGAAAAATATACATCTCTGTGAATTCTTACGTAAAAAATATATCTTTGTAAAAATCGCTACGAACAACCGTTCTTAAGATATTTAGAATGGAAATAGACAATACATGTCACTATTGACGAAAAATAAACACATTGAGTAGATAGTTATTTCACTGAAATAATAAATTTAGGAAATTTTTATTTTTTTTTCATTAATCATAAATTTTTCTGCAAAAAATGATAATAAAACAGTTTCTGTTGAACTTTTGGCACAAAAACATTTCAAATTTATGATTTCGGTCTGATAACTATTTAGTCAACATGTTTAATTTATGTCGATGATGACAGGTATTGATAATTTCGATTCCAAATATCTCGAAAACCATTTATAGAAATGAAGATGTCGTCAAGTGTAAAGAGACATTTTTTTTAAACAAAACGTGAGTGAATTATTTATATACATTGATGGCGCTCGTTTGTGCGCGCCTACAATTTCCTGGTAATTTTAGTCTAATTGGAGATATAAGCATATATCGGCGACTTGCTTACTCTGCACTTTTGGGACTTTTAAATAATTAAAATATAGTATATGTTTAAATTTAATTTGGTGTTGGGCTAAAAATAAATAGACTATTAATATTTAAATATATAGTAAATACATGGACGTTTATAAACCAATATAGATTATTTGTTTCTTTATTAAAGGTATTTGGAGTATATTGTAAAACAAAAAAATATATATTTTATTTTTTATTCTCTTTTGAAAAATTAGGTGTTTCCGATATGGGTCAGATTGCAAGTTAAATATTTAAAAGCTTAACATATAAGATAACAATGAATTCATATATTAGGGACTTTGAAACAAGGTTGATTGAGGCAGATGTGGCGGATGACATTAATATATGTAAATTTGACATTGAATTATCATCATTTAAACTTTTTCATAATAATATTCGTAGCATAGATCACAATTTTGATGAGCTTCTTGTTCTTTTACGTGGAATAGATTTTGAATTTGATTGTATAGTACTTACTGAAAGTTTTAAAATTTGGAATATTGATTTATATAGGATACCGGGATACAACATTATATATAAAATGAAGGAAGTCTAAATAAAAATGATGGAGTAGTAGTACTTATAAAATGTTCGTTAAATTATTCCTATAAAATACTAGATATAGGAGATAAGACCGCTGTGTAATAACTTGTTTTTTGGCGTGCTTAAGTGTTGGACAATGAAATATATTAATTTGATACATTTAGATATAGTTAAGAATTTAGTATAAAATATTGTAGTTATTGTTGTAGAAATAAAACTCCTCAGACAAGGTTCTACCTTAAGAGGATATTATGTTTATTCACTATTTTGTATTCGTAAGTTATGTATAAGTCTTGTATATACTTTGTAATTGGATCAGTTTGAATAAACATTATTTATTTATATTATTTATTATTATTATTACTCGTAGCGATTTTTGCCAAGAGACCTTTTTCGCGTAGAAAACGTCATAACTGTATATTTTTTCACTCAATAGTTTTATACAGGTACGGACGAAAACTTATTACCCTTCAAACCAGATAAAAATATGTAAGTGGCGCCCTCTAGAAGTAGGAGTCATATTGACATCAAAATCAAATTTCTCATGTCAAAAAACTCCCAGACACCAATTTTCATCCAAATACTGGCTTTACTTCAGAAATTATTTGGATAAAATGGAAATAAAAATGAAACATGTATTTATAGGACATATATTTATATGAATCAAAATCAAATTTCTCATGTCAAAACACTTCCAGACACCAATTTTCATCCAAATATTGACGTTACTTCAGAAATTATTTAGAAATAATCGAAATAAAAATGAAACTTCTACACCCTGTATCTCTGAAAGTAAGCATTTTAGGACAGACATTTATACGAACTTTTTTATTTATTTTTATCTGCAGAATATGCTGTCGAAGTTTCCGGAATACAGTTCGGACCACCCTATATAATATGCCATTTTTTTGAGAGATAAAATTCATAGTATAATAAAGAACATTTTTTTAAATTTTTTTCAAGATTCGTGTATTTTTACAAAAAATATAATAGAATGTACTGACATGTTTTTGCGCTAAACCAAGTAACATTTTTGGACACTTTTTAGGTAATGTTTCTAATAATCGTGTCTGTTTCTTGGCACAAAATGGAAACGGTATGATACAAATAGAAAACATTTTCGAGACCTGTATATTTTATATGGCTTTATTACATGTGTTTCCCATGTGGTGGCACAAGCCGTTTCCTGAAATGTTTCGATGCGAAATCAAAACAATTTTAGGGGAAATGTTTTGAAACATTTTCTACAATTTGTATCCAAGATGTTCCCGTTTTCAGCAGCCATGTTTCTAAATGTGAAGAAACAAAATACTAAACTAAAATAGTCTATGTCTGTGTGTGGATTTCAAAATGAAAACAACCATCAATAACGTCGACCTCCGCCATAATTTTATGACTTAAAGTCGAATTGTATGAAGTTTTTAGGTTTTCTCGCACAAAAAATGTCTAACAAAAGCAAATTTATCGTTTAATTTAATAATGTAATTTCATATTTTTAATGCTTCTTCTGTCCTAACAATATAAGCATTTAAAAGCTAAATTTCTCTAAAACGCTTAAATGCCTAAGCCCCAAAATGATTTTCATTGTCATGTCTGCCGAAAATCAACCGAAATCTTCACGGCTTTGCACCTGTTAAACCTAACTTGACCTTCTTTCATTTACATAATCCCTCCTACTCTTTAACGGCTCTAGTGTTTCCGCTCCGGCATCCTGTTTTAGACTATTATATTAAAATGAATTTAAATAATAAAGGTAAAGCACACCAGCCATTATTCTTAAATTACCCGAACTCATAATGTATGTACATAATATTTCAGGATTTATTTTGTATCTACTCAACACAAATTCAATTGTATATTTAGGTTTCAAATTTTTAATGGACTGGTTAATGGAAAAGTCTTAAAAATATTATTTGAAAAGTTCTTCTATTTCGACAAAAATACTATGTGATCGAAAGAAAATGACGTCGTAATAAGTGTAGAAAAAACACTTCATTTTGATTACAGTTGGGGGTTAGGCACTAATTCACCACAATACACCAAGACACTTCTATTTTGCACTGTTAGCTTCATCAGCAGATGATTAAAACAGATTAAAGCGCGCGTCCAGTGCAAGAGTTAAAAGATTTTGTTGTATTGTGGTGAATTAGTGTTTTATTTTACTATAGCTTTAATGTGTCAACGTTTTTAATATGATCGTAAATGATTTCACGACTTCGTTAGACATTAAAGCCATAATTAGTTTAGAATCAAACAATAAATATTTGAATAACTCTACCAGTATTTTATATATTGGAAATATTAAATTGTTAATAATAATAGCTCACGCCTTGTTTCTAACACCTTGGAGATAGCAAGGTACAGCTTGCCGGTACACCACGCTTCAACCGCCTATTACCTCAGGATTGTGAATTCCGAGTACTCATTTAAGGCTGAGTCGACCTAGGTACCCAAACTATTTTTATTTTATTAAAAATAGTCGGCTGATGCAATGCCGGGTGTAGGATTCGAACCCACAATCTTGAGATTGGTAGACCAGAGCTGTACCTCTACGGCACCGGGCAATAATTGCCCGGTGCAATAAAATAATTAACAATTTAAGGTAACAATTAATGTTACCTTAAATTGTTAACAAAAGTTTAAAATAGGCCACGATCAAATGCCAATGTCAAAAACATCAACGACTTTCTCTTTCGTATCCTAGCTATCTATCTATCGGGGACCGTTAATGATAGAACTTAGAAGAAGTGCGTAACACCAACATTAAATAGAGGTATGTTGCAAATATTTCGGTACTGTATTATTCAACCAACTATGCATTTTCTGGCTTTAAATTATTTATGCCTGTTTTCAAGATTAAAATTTTGGGGAAGGTTATTTAATTATCTCTGTCATCTCTGTTTAAAATATTTCTAAGCGTACTATGACGTCGTTTTCATTCGATCATACGGTATACTTTCTGTAATATACACTCTTTTTAAAAAAACATTTTTTTTTTCAAAACATTTAAAATTTTGCTTGTATTTTCAGAGAGGTTTCATACTATTACAAGCCAGTCGATACAGACTACATCTGTAGCAAAAGTAACTATTCCGGGATGCATACCTGCCACGATTTGCCGCCGTTTCTAAACGGTACAATCGAATGTACCCTCACCTACGAGGAGAAACAGTTGCCCGAATATGCGGAAGATCAATATTGCATCAACTGGCACCTATACTATTCCTCGTGTTCGGATAATCACCTGAATCCATTTCAGAACACGATATCCTTCGATAATATCGGATTAGCCTGGATCGCTATATTCCTGGTACGTATTTTTGAAATATGACTTTAAATTAAAATGCATATACAGGGTGAGTCTTAAATAAGAGCAAATATTTTCAGGGCTAGTAAATTTCGATAAAAGAAACATATTTTCTCTTAACCGTTTTTCAAATAAGTCCCAAATAACCGAGTTATTTTATTTTTGCATGAATTTTGAGAACCACCAAGGATCTTTTCTAAGTTTCCTTTCTTATAAATTTAGTCTACTGTATAATATCAAAATATTATGTTTTTTTTAAATAATAATTGAACTATTTTTCAAAAAATTCTAATTTTTCAATTATTATTTTTTCGCAAAAAAATCTAATAGACGTATTCCTGGGGTCAAAATATACTACCCCTAAAAATATTTGCCTTTATTTAACCCTGTATTATTAACATTTAACTAATAGCTGAATATTTAAGTAACAAGATTACATATTATTTTATATAATTTTAAATGCTCCATTTAAATGCTTAGATTACTATTTCATATTTGATTACAAAAGGTCTTACTCATTGGTAAAATAATTAGTGAGTCACTATAAATAATAAAATAACATTTAATGCATTCATTACTTGCATTTGCAGTAACTTAAGTGGTATTAATGTGTGACTTTCTTTTACATAGATAATTATTTTTTGTATTTCTCCATTTAAACAGTTTTTAGTGGGTGTACAATGATCTAATCTTTATTGATTATTTTCCATAAATAATGATTAGAATTGTAGCAGGATAAGAACAAACAGTATATAATAGAGTACCTATATCGACAAATGTAAATATCAAAATCATGAAAAAATGTGTTTAACAAATAAAACATAAGGAAAATATTGATTATGGATTTATAACTAATCATATTTTTTTACCATTCAATCATTCTTTATATAGAAAATGAACATTTTATATCAAGAGTCGTTTTCACTGATGCAATGGGAGTGATTACATTATAAAACTTAATAAATATTTTCATGATGATTTCCATAATTATTTGGAGTTTTTAATATTTTTAATTTTACACCGTAATTATAAAAGTTATACAAGAATTATTGAAATGTCTTATTTAATTTTATTGAAAATTTCACACCTCTACTTTTCAACCAATAACATGCTTTAATGTTGACTAGTTACCATGGCAACTGAAAAAATTTCCGGAAATTTTGTCGAGGCGCCACGAAACTTTAGTGAAAATTTTTTGACAGTTGAAAAGGTAAACATAAGATCTACAATCATAATGTGAATGAACTACAATGTCTATATATTGAAATATTACCCATTTGAGTTTTAGCATTTGATGTAACTAAGGTTGGTAATATTTTTTATTTAAGGAAATATGTTAGATATACCTACATATGAATTTCTTCGAAATTGCCATGTTCTAAAAAATATAGTTCTGCCGCCTTTATTTAACTAAAGCTGGTATTTTTCTATTTAACGAAATATGATGGATATATCTATATGATTTTTTTAGAATTTATTTCATGTTGAATTATCTTCAATGCCAAATCTTTAATGATATATTATGTACTACACTCATACACTCATGAATATTATACGACTTTTCATCACAAAATTCAACAAACTGTTTCCATACACTTGATTTTGATTTTCGGGTGTTATCTGGTTTTATATTTTCAATTTCTTCTTTAATGACTTGTTGGTTTACTTTTCCAAATCGCGACATTTCGCTATACACTTCTTACTCTACGTACAGACGTTTTAAAACTAGTAATAGCTTAATGACAGAATCGCAAACAAAAATGACAAAACACATAATATGTCAAAAACATCAATACCTTGGCCAACTTAACAAATTGAAATTATTTTAAAATGTCATGTTTTAATTAATTTTTTTCAAATTTAGGTGTGAAATTTTCTTACCGAATACCACGCAAGCTTAAATTATTCCTGGAAATTTTCTTTCGGACACGAATATTTTAGGAAAATTATCCCTCGTCTTCGACTCGGGATAATTTTCAAAATATTCGTGCCCTCAAAAAAATTTCCGAAAATAATTTAAGCTCTTGTGATATTATAAGTGAAAATTGATAAATTTTTAATTTTGCAAACATGGGCTGACAATGATAACAAAATCATAATTCTCATATACGCTACAGTTTTTTATTACGGAATTATATTATTTTTACAACGACAATATTATTTTTAATAACTACAGACCTGTTAATCTTTATTCCTATTATTGCACTTATCTAGATGATACATATTGCAAACAAAACACAAATTTTAATTATTCCAAATTCTATAATAAATTTTATATATCAAAAATTCATCACTAATATTAAATATTAAACCATCCAGATATTTGTTTGAATTTGTGAAATCTCGTATAAATAAATATAATGTATAATTTGATACCAATTTTAACGTGATGAATAGACCTAAATAGCATGTTTGTTTTACGCTTTGCTATGTGTTAAAACCGAAAATACCATTTTTAATATTCCATGATTTATTCGACCAAATATAAATTCGTCTAATGAATTTTTTCTTGCCAATTATGATGATATATGGACAATTATGTTCTTTTCATATTAATGTTCATAGAGAACCTTAATAATCTTTTAAATTTAAAATTAAACATTTTTGGTTGATTTATAAATTATCTGCAAAGTCTTGAATCTCTAGCATCTTTAATAATTTTTTTAATAATCAAAGAATATATTATTAAAAAAATTACTTATATTTCTAGGTTATATCTTTAGAAGGTTGGACGGAAATAATGTATTATGTCCAAGACGGACATAGTTTTTGGGATTGGATATATTTTGTATTACTCATTGTGGTAAGTAATTTATCAAAAAATAGATAATAATTTGATCAAACTTTTGTATATACGGGGTGAGTCTTAAGTAAGTAGAAATATTTTAGTGGCAGTATATTTCAACCCCAGAAAAACGTCTATGAAGTTTTCTTCGTAAATTTTTTTTGGAAGAATTGGAATTTTTTGAAATATTTTTTTGGAATTTTTTTTAATATTTGGTTAAAAAATATAATATCTTTATAATATGACAGTATAGGTAGTAGATTAAATTTACCAAGAAAGGGAACCCAGAAATGATCCAGTGGTTCTCAAAATTTAACCAAAGAACCATTTTTTTTTAATTTTCAAAGTAAAATATCTCGATAATTTTGGACTTATTTTAAAAACGGAAAATAGAAAATATGTTTCTTTTATCGAGATCTACCAGCCCTGAAAATATATTTGCACTTATTTAAGACTCCCTTATTGTAAATATAACTGTACCGGAAGGCCAACTAAGAATGGACGCCGGCTGTATCTCAGAAACTACTTGTCGTATAACTTATAACGGAAAAAGATTCTAATAAGTAAATCGGCCAAGAGAAATCGCTGGAAATTATTTTCAAGTTCGAAACTCCGTTAGGTCCTCTAGGGGGCGATTCTCTGATACCCAATCAGAAAATAGGGGTTTTCTCAAAAATATGCAGGTGAACAGGTATATTAAATACTACTATTGTAATCATCGAGAAATTTGTATTTTTTTTATATAAAGTATTTTGCTCTATCTCATTAAATAAAGTGGTTAAACTTGCTTTTATTAAAATAAGGATAACTCTGCTTTAGGTTAGCCGATTTAAACAAACTAGGGCTCGTTTAAAAGAGCTTTTTCTTCCTTAATGATCTCCAGTATAAATTTTGTTTCCATAATTTTTTTCGTTGCAGCTGGAGGGCGCTGTTTGACATCATAACAGATATTGCTGTTTTCCATAAAACAATTAAATAGGAGGCTGTATTCATCTTTGCACTGTTAAATAGCGCACAAAATGTCCAAAATATCAGCGCAAACCGCAACTGTCTATCTTCTCTCTAACCGAAGATATTAAGAGAATAAATCATGTTAGGCTGCCGTTTATATAGGATTATATGGTCTAAAAATTATAATAGTAAGCTAGGAAACAAAAAGAGGGAAATTGGTTACATCAAAATATCAAAGCGTTTAAGTTCAGTTTTCATGCATCCGAATTTCGGCCGTTTTCTTAAAAAAATGACGTCATAATTTTTTAAACGTATTTATGTAACATTTTCGTCCATCCATATAATTTTTACGAATTTCTTGGTTAATTATACGTAGGTAGTTCACAGATTAAAATATCCCAAAGTCGGACAATCAATAATTTTATTAAAATTTCTAGGAATTTTGTGCCGCCATACTAATTTAACAGAAAACGGCCGAATTTCGTATGGCCGAAAACTAGGGGGTTTATTTCATGTAACGTCATTTAGTTATTAATCCAAGTTCGTCCTTGGTTTCACTTGTTTTCGTGTTTTACCTGTTGTTTGTGTTATTTATTATTATATTATAAAGTTTATGTCGTTTGGGTCACTTTTCACATGTCACTAAAGGTGCGAATCTTAACAATATGTAGTATTGGTCCAAATCTACCCTTGATGCAAGTAGTTCAGCACCAAGACGTTCAGCGTTGCGCGCTTGTCGGTAAATGTTTAGGCAGGAATTCTATAATGGCGAATGATTGCACCTTTTTAATTATCTGAATGAAATGAACTATCCATAATTTCTAAGAGATGAATTGCCAATTTTGTTAGGATACCACTTACTGTAGTAGTAATAATAACGGCGCTGGAGCGGCATATTTCCATGGCCAGCTAGGTCATCGGATTCAATATGCCTGGGTTTTAATTTATGGGGTCGAATCAAGAACTAACATGGATAAAGACCAATTAAATGGTATTAAAATGAAATTAAAATATTTGTTTTGATATTTTGACGTAACCAATTTACCTCTTTTTATTTTCTAGCCTACTACAATAATTTTTAGACCTTATAATCCTAGGTGTACAGCCTAATATGATTTTTTTTCTTAATATCTCCCGTTAGAGAAAAGATAGAAAGTTGAGGTTTGCGCTAATATTTTGGAAATTTTGTGCTCTATTTAACTATGTAAAGAGAAATATAGCCTCCTATTTAAATTTTTTATGCAAAAACGCAATATCTGTTATGATGTCAAACAGCGCCCTTTAGCTACAACGAAAAAAATGTATGGAAACCAAATTTATACTGGAGATCATTAGGAAGAAAAATCTCTTTTAAACGAGCCTTTAGTTTGTTTAAATCAGCTAACCTAAATCAGAGTTATTCTTATTTTAATAAAAGCAAGTTTAACCTTCCCCCACCACATTATTTAATAAGCAAAATTACAAATTTCTTGATGATTACAATAATATTATTTAAAATATCTGTTCACCTGCATATTTTTTATAAAAACCCTATTTCCTGATTTTCTATCAGAGAAATGCTCCCTAGCAGCCATTTTTCGAACTTGTAAAACAGAAGATGCGCGGACAGCGATTTCCATCACCTCAAGAAGCTGTTGAAGACTTTCAAAACCATGTTTCTAGAATATCAGCTTCAGAGTGGAAAAAATGTTTCCAGAATTGTTTTTTTCGAAAAGCAATAAAACACTATGTTTCGAATTTGTTCGTTTCTGTTTCACTTTTGTAAAAACTTAACAGGCAACCTACGTATCATGAAGTTAATATAAACGTTCGGTTGTAATTAAAATCGAGTATGTGCTTCCAGATCGGATCGTTTTTTATGATCAACCTCTGCCTGGTCGTGATAGCCACCCAATTCTCCGAAACGAAGAAGCGCGAAATGGAGCGGATGAGGTTGGAAAGGGCGAGGTTCCAGAGCAGCAGCACGCTGGCGTCCTCGACGAACAACAGCGAGCCCACCAGCTGCTACGCCGAGATCGTCAAGTACATAGCGCACCTGTGGCGCCGGTCCAAACGAAGGCTGTTGAAAAAAATTCGGTTATACAGGGTACAAAGAGATCTCCGAAGAGATCAAAAAATAACTATGGGAGAGACAATAAGACTAAACTGCACCAAGAGACATCATCCAAACTGTCCAAAAATGAAACCGGTGGTGAGTATAATTATTTTTGTACTGTCTGTTCAGCCATAGTTCAACGTTACGTCATCATTATTTGTCAAATATGCGTTTTAGGGTGTGTCTGAGATCAGTTCATATTATTTAGAAAATTTTAAGTACGTTCTGAAATTATTAATCGAGTGAGTTCCGTTTTTTCTTTTTTTGTTTTTCATTTCTTTCTTATTCTTTGTTTCTTTATGCTTTACCTTTTCTTTCTTGTTTCTTGCCACTGTTGTTAGGCCTTTATTAATATTGATAGTCTTTCATTATATAATTTTAGGCGCATATACCAGTTTTTTCCTGGTAAGTCTAATTTTAAAAATAAGCTTATGAAAAAATCTGTGATTCTGTACTACCAAATACACTTTGATGCTCTAGAAGTTCAAGAGACCTAAAACCTAAATTTAATATAGTATTTTTTTAATTAAATATGTCTAAAGTTGACTTATGATATATCATTTTATTCAAAATGTCATTTTTATAAATAAAATAAAAAATAGCAAGGGTACTATTTAAAAATCAAATGTTGTAGTTATTTGCAGTGAAACCGGAAGTGACCGAAGATAATCGAATACGTCAATCAATCTCGATTTATGACATAAGCTAACATACCAAATCTTGTTCTTTTTTCAGAAAAAATAAAAAAACTTATTGGGGTGAGCCTCTATTGGAAAATACCCAAGACAAATCAATTTCAGATTATTTCTAGAATATATTTCGACGAAATTATTTCTCTGAAATGATTTAGTTTGAATTATGACATAAGCTAACATACCAAATCTTGTTCTTTTTTCAGAAAAAATAAAAAAACTTATTGGGGTGAGCCTCTATTGGAAAATACCCAAGACAAATCAATTTCAGATTATTTCTAGAATATATTTCGACGAAATTATTTCTCTGAAATGATTTAGTTTAATTCAACTTTTTAAAATTGCACAAGGAAAATACCTGTAATTGACATCTTAATTAATTTTACTGCAATTTTATTAAAAAAAATAAAGACTATTTGTAGTTTTATAAATATAAGAAAATCGTAGAGTTTCAACGCGAAAAGGCTTGGAAACTGCTTTAGAACATAAACGTTCCTTTCAATCAATTATTTTTCCGTTTTAAAACAAATGAGAAATTCTAGAGATAATCAAAAATTGGTAAGGACAGCTTTAATTTCCTCACGTTTCAGAGCGTTTCAAGAACATGAAACGCTAGAACTAATTGAAATTGATAAAGGTTTAACTACTTTAATTTTATTGAAATAGTCTGCAATTTTAGATCCGAATAAATAGGGCTTCTTGTAAATACAAACTTTATCACTTTGGTTAACTGGATAGAAAATCAATTAACACAGCTGTCCCCATCTTTCCATAAAGATAATTAATTGTAATTTATTTAGAGAACTATTGTTAAAAATAAGCTGTGAGGATTTCTTCTGCAAATTGAAGTATATGTATTTTTTACAGCAAACAACTCAGAGCTTACCTAGCACAAGGGCAGTGTCCAGAGCAAGTTCAATATGTCTGAGTGATCCAGGCTACCTCAGATCGGAAGACGTGGAACTCTCGGTAGTGTCATCAAGAAGACCGGGGTTGCTAAGGGTACCTGCTATTTCCAATCAAGATATATCCATTAATAATAATGACGTAAGTAAACTATATTTTCATTACCTATCTATATTGTTTATTTCTTTAAAATGTTGTATAATCGAATTTATGTCAAATAGGAGAATTAAGGACTAATTCAGTAAAATAAAACGCCCATTTAGCATCATACATCAAAACATTTTACCAAGGTTTCGTACCTCCGTAGGTACCTTTATCTGTCAAAACTCTTTATCTCGGAAATGCTTGGAGTTATCGCTTTTAAATTAAAACCATAGACTCATGTCTGCACTCCTTTGAGGTTGTGAAAAAATCAAACCTTTAAGTTGACTTAAAAAAAAGATACGGCCGTTTATGCCGCAAAAAATGTTTATTTTTTGAAGATTGTTTCTTGGGTTTATGGTCCGTAATAAAGCTGTTTTTAAGTCGAACACATTATTGTTAACGTTTCGATCTTTATTAGATCTTCATCAAAACCTTTTTCTGCAAAGTTAATACATCACTAGTTAACATCAAATAGAGAAAATTTAAAACTTACATTATAAACTTGGAGGTCACAAAATGAAAGTTAAATATTTACATTTTAACACCAGTAATAGTAGTAATAGTAAATACACAAACAAATCAAAATTTACAAAATTCATAGTTATTTCATAGCCCTTTCATGATATTTGTTTAGAAGCATTCAGTACATACCAAATTGTAACAAGACTGTATCAACTCTGATTTCTAAGTAAAATGGTTATTCTCGTCATGTGTGTCACGGAGTTACAGCCTCATTTAATATTCATAGCGTTCGCACCTTTGCTAATTATACGATTGGTGAATGCGTAAAGCTACTTCCCCATTCATATTCTAATGAACTCCAAACTTTCGCCGCCGTGTTGCCGATTGTTCAGATAGCGACGTATAAACTTGTTACCCGTCCGCGTCAGAAACGTGTATTTAGTAAGTAATTAACGGTGACTTTTTGTATCACAAAAGTTAATCTACCCAAAGAGAGAATGCCTGACAGTGACAGATGTGTCTGTCATCTAATTCTAAAGTAATCCAGAACAGTTATAAGTTTTAGGGGGAAGTTGAGCATTCCAGTTTAAATATTTATCTCTCATTTAATTTTAGAATGGTTCTCTTGGTTTATAGAATAGTAGAATGGTAAGAGAAATATGATGATCTTATATAGATTATCTTGATGATCTTATATAAAAAAGTTTTAATGGCCCAGATTTATAGTCATTTTTGTCAACGCAGCGCGAATAATCGCTGCAAGTTAGCATTCACTTAGTAGCTCATGCAGAAAGCAGGATGGGCTTATACGATAATCTGATTCTAGAAAGAAATAAGTAGAAAATGCATGATAAAGTCACGTAAACATAGTTGTGTGTAATGTACTTATGGTATAGCTTTATCCATGACGTTTCTTAGATCTAAGAAAAAATATATAGTTCATATCAAATAAACTTTTAGTCACGTGATTAAGATTGACCGGCACAGCATTGCCCACTTTTACATATTTTCTTTTAAATAAAATATTTTAAGAAACAAAAATAAATTAATAAATAAATATATAAACAGTTATTATTTATATCAACAAAACTCACCTTCTTAATAGCACTTAAGGGACATAAGGGGCCAATACCACCGCTTTCCTGTTCAGAATATTCTAATAAATTTGCGATGAATTTGTTACGGCTATTAAGCTATCTAGAAAGAACAATGTTTGACTGCAATGTAATAATAAAATGAAACTTTTAATCACGTTGAAATATCAAGAAAAAATATGGAATCTAGTATCTAAATACAAATCCTAAATATAAAAACCTACACATTAAATTTTAGAAAAAGAGATAAAACAGATGTTCTATTACAAATAAAAATAAAATAGTTAGTCATCTTTCCAGGGCGTTGTTATTTACGAATAGTTTGATATATTTTAAAAAATCTATGCTTAATTAAAAAAATTCGTAACTTTTTTTAGTAGTCTTTTCTTCTATCATCATATGTAGACATTTCTTTATCTCGTGGAACAGACTTTATTTAGTAATTAAGAATGACTTTTAGTATCTTTTAAGTGAGAGGAAATACGACTATCTAAAGTAATAATAAATTTAGTCGAGTCAACAAGTGAGGACGTTCCTCAAAAAGTAAACATTAATCTCGCCGAAAAACTAAACGAAGAAGACGAAAACATTTGTAGCTGTTGCTTACGATCATGCTTTTGTGAAGACAAATGGCCTGGTTTATTTTACGATTTTTCCCATTCTCTAAATGGCAACACGGACCATTAGCAAGGGTTGTTTCCAAAATAATATTCTGGTACAAGGAGATTCAAGTTTTATCAGTCCAGTTACACAACTTTAACGGGTATAGTCTGTCTATCAAAAAAGTATATTATAGTGGGAGTTGTTTTCAGTCGTTTTAATCAAAATTTGATTGCTTTTTCTATTTTTTCATATATATTTATCTAGCTGCACAACTGCTAAATTAAAGAAGTTCATATGTTGTCTATCAAAGAACACAATATAAACATGTATTCTAAACTGATTTATTTTCAATTTAGGAATCACTATAATTTCTCAGAGAAAATAATATGTATATACTTGGTAATATTGTAAGTATGCATAACTTTACTGAACTTAAATTTATTTACATACTGTATATAACAGGATGAGTCTAAAATAAGTGCAAATATTTTCAGGGCTGGTAGATCTCGATAAAAGAGACATCTCTTTGTCGTTTTTCAAATAAGTCCAAAATAAACAAGTTATTATACTTTCAAAATTATAAAAATATATTTTTTCCTTAAAATTTTAGAACCACAGGATCTTTTCTGGATTTTCTTTTATGTAAATTTAATCTACTACCTAGGTATGTTACCATATAATCAAGGAATTATGTTTTGTAACTAAAAATTTAAAAAAAATCCAAAATTTTAGAGTCGTGGTTCTGGGGTCAAAACGTACTACCCCTAAAAATATTTGCACTTATTTAAGACTAAACTTCGATTCTTCAAATAATACGGTATATGTTCTGATCTAACTTTTTATTATTAATAATAATAATAATAGCTCCCGTATATAGCGTTCGACGCCTTGGAAGTAGCAAGGTACAGCTTGCCATACTAGAGCCGTTGGGTTTACAAGGAAGGTAATATGGCCAGCACTACGCTTCAACCGCCTATTATTACCTCAGGATTGTGAATCCCAAGTACTCATTTAAGGCTGAGTCGACCTAGGTACCCAAACTATTTTTATTTTAATAAAAATACTCGGCTGATGAAATGCCGAGTGTGGGATTCGAACCCACTACCTTGAGATTGGTTCTCGTCTACCAATCGCCTGTACCTCTACGCCATCGGGCACCTACACTTTTTATTATTAACATTTTAAAACAAATTAATCCTTTATAAAAGAAATATCTTGTTCTAAAATGGTTAATCCTATTTATACTTTTCTAAATTTAAATACCGTTTTAAATAGAAGGAATAGTAGTAATAACAAATGTAAATTTGGTTGAATTTCTTTCTAAAATTATTTCGTTCTTAAATTATCACCTTTTCCGGGAACTGATATTAGTGTGGATTTACATACATCCGTCATGCATCGTCAGTGGTTGTTTTTATGGAATTTTATTAATTTAATTCAAAAATTACAGCTCACAGTAACTGCCCAACAGACAATAATAATTGACTTTTCAAAGACAGTGACATTACATAAATCACAAACCCTATTTTATAGGTCTGTTGACTAGGACCAAAAGCAAAGGCATGGTTATATTGTAAAAAATATGAAAAAATGTTAGTATTTTCTTCAAAAGCGTATATCTCCAAAAAAAGCTATTGAGATGAATCAAAAAACAAACTATCGAGATTAGAAGATACATCTATATGATAAAATGATTCTTAACGTGTTTCGAACTTTTACCATAATATAAACATTTTGTTTTCCCTCGTATAATTGACAGAGGCAACTTTCATTTTAATTTATGAAGAGATACTAAAAAGTCAAATAATGTAGCTACAAATTCTTTAAAAACCATCAGAATCGGTCCACTAGAACACAATATATAAAACTTCCAAATACATGAAAATTTTAAGTTGTTTCTCGTTTCCCAAATTGCTTTGCTTCTAAAATACAGACAATATTTACATTGTTTCGGAAATGAACAATACAAAATATTACGAACCATCCCCACGATACCATTTATTTTTATTTCCAGAGTCCCACGAACTTGCTATCGCCAACTTCGCTGCAAAATAACCGGAGACGGTCCTCGGTTATGTTCAGCGACATCATTGTGCTGCACGGACAACACGTTTCACCTTCCACATCGGCCTCCAACCTCTTATCGGTCAACATTGATAAGAAAAATGTGTGCTCGAGCGAGAAAACCACACAAGCCGGTAAAGTATTTCAAAAACCTCTTTTATTTAGGGTTGAAATATATAAACGAAAAATTCTTAAATATCAAATAAATTAAAAAGAATTAAAAGAAAAATCTTATCTTGTGTTATTCAATATAATATTAAATAAATTAAGATATCTCCTATTCCCCAGTTATATTAATATAAAACATATTTTAGGAATGATGCTGAGAGATGATAAAGAACGGATAAAAATACTCTCTCAGATTTCATAAAACACGGATTTAATAAAACACGGTAATCGTGGAAAAATATAATCCATACTAACTGAGAGAAAAATATATCTAATACAGCTTTATAAAAAAATGCAAGCGTAATATATTTATTTCTTCGTACAGAACTCAAAATTAGATTTAAACAAACTTTAAAAAATAAAAAATGTCAACATAATTTTTTAATATATGATTCCCTTTTACTTATTTAATAATATAGTATCTAATTGAAAATCTAAATAGATGTAATTCACATTAAATAATTTTATTCTGGGATATTATACTAAGGTGCATTTTTAATAATTTTTTATATAGTTTCCATTTATCTTGCCATATTTTTATTTTTTAAAAACGCCTCAAAACTCCTCGTAAAATGTCGGAGAAGGGCATGTTTTTTTATCGATTTCGGTTGTCTCCCGCTATCTCATTCAACTTCGTTTTGTCTCGAACTGTCGACGTGTCAGTTTCTATACTCGAGACAAATGCCTTTATCATATACAGGTTGTTAATATGTTTATTACTCGCGGCAAGAACTTTATGGTTAAAATATGGCAACCTCGGCCCGCTCGTCGCTGACGACGCGACGGGACGAGTCGGCAGAAAAATCAATAATGCATGCGTTCTCAGTAGGCAGTGTTGCCATTCTGTTCCCCTATAAGTAACTGTCGAGTTAACAACCTGTATATTCCACAAGTTTAATATTTGAACAGGCCTTTAATAATATTAAAATACAGGGTGGTTCATCGAAAACGTTCCGCAAGGCATAACGGCCAGGGTATTCTTTTTTCCAAAAAATTCAAAAACACGTCAATTTTGTTTGTGAGGGGGACAATTTTTGTCTCAAAAATGATTGCAAAATCTTCAACCCTCTAATCGGGGGTGTCATCCCCCAACTTTTTTCAAATGGGAAAGGGGGTCAAGTGGCACCGCAATGAAAAGAGCTTTCTATTTTCTATATTTCCCCGGCTCGTTTTTGAAAATCGGTCGAGTCATTGAGAAAATATGAAAGATTGAAATTTGAAAAGTTTATTTAAACATTTATCAGAGTAAATGATAAGGATAAATTCCTTCGACCAATTTGAGGTTTTTTCTTATTATTTCTAGATGTTTACGTATTTTTTCACTTGCCACAAGGTTGAACGATCAGGTGCGGTAGTTGCTAGATAGCTGTTCTGTGACTTGTGCGTTGAAGTTCTTCTCAATATCGTTAAACTGACCCACAAAAGAATTTCCAAAAATACCAGCCCTGACGTTCAATTTCTTAGGGTTTTGTGTGGGCACCTAGTGAAAAATCCTGTGGTTGTCCTCAGCCCAGTACCGACAGTTGTGCGAATTAACTACACCGTTCAAAAAAAAATACACTCATCCGAAAAATACATCTTATTATCATTCGCCACTCGTTCACTCATAATTTCAAAAAATTGCAAGTGACGATCAAAATCGTCTTCGTTGAGTTCTTGTACCAACTGAATTTTGTACGGGTGGAACTTGTAGTTTTTAATATCCTTTGGACACTTATACGATTCACGCCGGTCTCACTGGCTAATTTTCTTGTACTCAACGTACTATCCATGGCAACTTGGCCCAATACGAATACTTCCATAGCTTCATTTACTACAGGATTTTCCCTCTGCCTCTTTTTATTCATAACGGAACCAGTTTAGCGAAATTTTCCTACTAACTCGCGAACAATTTTGCCATAAAGGTATTTGTCAGGATGGCGTTCATTGAATATCTGCGCAACCCAATTGCCACATTCATTATTTTTAAAATAAAGTTCGATTATTTCCACTTTTTCTGCAAGTGAGTACACCATAATTATTAAAAAGTATAACAATATTGAGAAGAACTTCAACGCATAAGTCACTGAACAGCTATCTAGCAACTACCGCACCTGATCGTTCGACCTTGTGGCAAGTGAAAAAATGGGTAAACATCTAAAAATAATAAGAAAAAACAACAAATTGGTCGAGGGAATTTATCCTGATCATTTACTCTGATAACTGTTTAATTAAACTTTTCAAATTTCAATCCTTCATATTTTCTCAATGACTCGACCGATTTTCAAAAACGAAGCCGGAAAGTATAGAGAATAGAAAGCCCTTTTCATTGCGGTACCACTTGATCATTGCGGTACCACTTGATTTTACACCTTTTCATTGCGGACCCCCTTCCCATTTGAAAAAAATTGGGGGATGAACATTTTGCAATCATTTTTGGGGCAAAAGTTGCCCCCCTCACAAACAAAATTGACGTGTTTTTGAATTTTCCAAAAAAAAAAATTACCTTGGCCTTGCGGAACGTTTTCGATGGGCCACCCTGCATAAATATGAACACGCGTTTATAAAAAACTAAAATTTTCACTTAATCTGCAGGCGTACAATTACAAAAGGCGTACCGCCAGAACACAGACTGTTGCCCTGCAGTTTTACGATTTTAAGTTTTGGAAATCTATTTTTTTTACTATATTGTAATTAATAATATTAAACAATGATTAAAACTATATATTCTTGTGTAACCTTAGAGGAATAGCCAATTCATTCTACCATCGGTCACTGTTTTCTAAATTTGCTCATATTTGAAGTGAACTTTTTACTAACAGCTATTAAATTAAAGGACTTGAAGGACATGCTTGAAAAAGTGTAGTTTGAAATGTTGAAAAAGTATCAAATTAAAAATTAATAAATAATTTCATACACTTTCACAAAATTGGTATTAAAATGACCGTATGTTTTGTATAGTAATTTTGTATAGTGTATAGTACCTAATTAATAAAAATAGTTTGATTCACTTTCACAAAATTTGTATTAAAGTGTCATAATTTTTGATAAACACGTGGACTGCTCACAAATACACGTCGCGTCACTACGTATTTCTAATCCGCTACCACTAATCGTCTTGCGCTAGCTTCTGTGTCACGGCCTTGAATTTTTAGTGCGCGTAAAGAAGTTTCACTTCAAAAATCTGGTGCCTTTCGTGATAAAATTATTTTATTTTTAAATGCTTTTTGACAAAATATTTAGGTTTATCAATTCATATACAAGGCAGTATCTCAAAAACAAACCCATTAATAATACATAAAACCATAATACGTTTGTGGATATAAAATGGCGCCAATCGAAGTATTGGTAGTTAAATAAGTCTTTATGTAATTGATTATATACTGTAGCCATGTAACAATCGGCATAGTTGCAATATCCTCATTTCGCTAAGGAAGTTCGCTTACCAAATCTTGCATTTTAGGTTAGCATAGTTCCAAAACTATTCTAACTGGCTGGAATATATTTCCCCGAGTTGTGCTCGTTAAAAGTTAAGATTAATTTACTTTCAGCAAGCAATTATTTCTATTATACCTTGTGACCTCGTGACTCAATTAATATTAACGTAGTTTTCTTCGTACAGGGTGCTACAAATTCGCGGTACGAGCATTGGTATCTCGGAAACCGAAATAGATACAAACATAGTTAAATTGGATCAAACTTTCGTCTTGGGATATTCGCCAACCAGCCATCAAAAAATTTTCAAAAAATTTAAAGATTGCTTTAGAAAAGAAGTTTTTAGAAAAAGTCCAGGATTTTTTAAATATCTATTTTATTTTTTCCTGTCGTTACTTTTCAGAAAATCGAAAAACCAATTGTACATTCTCATATCTACTTTGTCAGGGCTATCTGATCGTAATTTTGAAATTAGCTAATACTTTCTGAGATACATATCCAACTTATTTTGTTTAAATACAGACCTGCGTTTTTTATTTCAAGTTTTCAAAGAATTCGGTCTTCTGAGTACAACAACATGCCACATTTAATATTTATTTTTTGGAGCACATTAATGTAAAGTAATATTGATGAGCGCTAATTAACATTGAATAAGGCCAAAAAATTGATTGCCAATTGAAAGATTCAAATAAATAAAATAATTTAAAGATATTATTTTTAACTTTATTTAAAGATATTATTTTTAACTTTATTATCAATTTGAAATCTCAATGTACGATCTAATAATATGCATAATATTGATCGTAATTACTACAAATAAATGAACTTCTACAAACTAGTTTCTAATGATCTACATGTTCGAAAGGATTACAACCCTTTCTAATGCACAAATTTATTTTTCGTTTACTTTTATGTATAGCCCTTACAACAGATCTTCTTCTTATACTTACGAATGTGTACATTTTGTAGTTTTAAAGCTCATCAATATTGTTACATGATTGATGAACACATTAAATATTTTCAAAAACCAGAACCGGACTTGAAATTAGTTTAAATAAAGTGTGTTTAAGTCCCAGAAATAGAAAAAAAATTAAGTGTGGAATATCATTGTTTTTGGGAGACCGAATTCTTTCAAAACCTGAAATAAAAAATGCAGGTCCGTATTTAAAAAAAATAAGTTGGCCTATGTACATATGTCACAAATTATCAGCTAATATGAAAATCTAAAAATACTCTGAGGTAGCCTTGATAAAGTGGCTATGAGAATGTGCAATTAGTTTTTGAATTTTATAAAAATTAACTACAGGGAAAAATAGAATCGATTTTCATAAAAATTGTTTTTTTTTTCAAATAGTTCAGCAATGCTTGGTGACCATCCCAAGACACAAATTTGCCCCAATTTAACCATGTTCATATCTATTACGGTTTCCGATACCGTGCTGGCAACTGTTACTCTTGGGTCGGTACTTACATGTGTGGAAGTAAATCGCATAGAGATCTTATTAAGTCGGAGTGAGAGAAATGCGGCGTTGCCGGTACGCCTTTCCCGATC